CAGCTTCACAATCAGAGAGCATCAGTTCCCTCTAGATTACAGGTACATCTTAATGACGAGTGCCAAACAGCATGAAACCTGGGTTCAGGGTTTCCTGTTGACTACCTCCAAACATCATCTTATTTCAACATAGTGCACGTAATGTCGAGTCATTTAGACTAATGGTCACATTGCAATTTGTTTGATAGGATTCGATTTGCACTAAGAAGTACTTGACACACATAACATTGATCAACACCCAGTGATCAATCAATTGTAAATCTACTGTATTAAAATATATGAATAATATTGGGATTTACGTTATAGGATGTCTCACAATTTGATTGTATGAATAGTATAAAAATGAAAGTAAGTATAAGATTCAAGTTTAGCATTTAGTATAAAATCCAATATAAGAATTGATTACTGGTCTCTGTTGCTAGTTATCTTCATGAAAAATCAACAACTAATCTAGTTGCCTTGATATGGTCATTAACTTTAGTAGATTCTTATAGTTTGTTCGTTAGAGTAGGCTTCAGCTCAAGAAATCAGTCATCAGTAATTAAGAAAAATTTCATCTAAGTTGAAGAAATAATGTAAATTTGTCAGCACAAAAGAACAAGTTTAACTCAAACTGACAGTTTTACTTGTGGTGACAGAGACTGTTTATAGGATGAATTTTCAACTTATTTATGTACTATACAATGTAGTAATAATCAGTTGATATATTAATTAGATCAGAAGATTATAAGTTATTACTCTTTAGTACAAGTAACAGTTATATAACGATAGAGGGTTTACGATTTTTCTGAGTTCCATAATTGCGTCTCAAAATGACTGGTTTTAAAAAATTATTAAAAACTAAGAAGTAATGAACATCTGTTTTGTCCTAGTTTGGGACGTTTCAGTAGTATGTAGGCATAAATCTGTGTAAACCACGGGATGGCAAATCAATAGTCAATAAGTTAAATGGTTTCATTGAAAACTGGATGTCCCTAGTTCCCCGCCCTTCTGAAGGTAAGTATACACTACCAAGGACTCCTTTACCGAGAAGAAATAGCTATCGGATATTAACTGGGTGTTCAATGGTGATATGCTTTCTGACTGAACGCTACTTTGTTTTATCTGGTCGTCTCTGATTGTTATGTCGGAATCGCTTATCACTTATATTTGTAAAGGGAGGAACCACTGTAATTCCTTCCACGTAAAAGTAAGACCGCAAAGACTGGTACAAACGAAGATATATTAGCCCAGAAAACACGACGACGATGATCCAAGTCGAAAATATACTCATTTATATATTGATTCTTACATATATTTTGATTAATAATTAGGTTGAAATCACATATATGGAAAATACTTACAGTTATAACAAATAATATGCTATATGTCATGCTGACGATAGTTCAGGCCAACTGGATACAAGAAAATCGTATGTTATACACAATAAAATGTCATACGAGAAAACAAAACAAATATTACACTAAATAATCATTACATTAAATTAAAATGGAATTAATGTTGAACAACAATCATACTGAGTAAAACAATGTAATTTTGTCTTTTCTTCCCGTCATAAATGGCTACCTAACTTAGATCACTTCATAGTGTGAACTATGGAAAAACAAATTATGATGTAACATTTATGCATAAATAAGAGGCGAGATAAATATTTGATTGTTTGTTCAAACAGTTTATTGTTAAAAGTATCTGAAATGAGTTTAATTTGCCAATAAACTAAACAAATCTTCTTATCATATTATAATTATAAGCGATAGTTTATTCGACTCAAACTAGTTATTATTTATTTTAAAATAGTCTGTTTTTTAACTATTACAGTCATATGATTATTTATTGTATATGGAAAGTATATTTCATTTAGTTATTTGAACACATAAATATTGGTATAAAGGGACACCGAATACATATACGCCACACAAGTTATTTGGTTTGTGTGTGGGCTGTGATACTGCCCGTTGCCCAAACCAACGCAGGTGGTATTCTTAGGTAGCCATATCCGGATACTAGAGCCCATGTGCAGCATTGGTTTGGAATTAGGGTTTTCCAACTCCCCTAGATGGATCCTTCATATCCACCAACCCGGTTAAAGCACCCGACATCCGCTTTTCGTCCTCTCAATTTCATAGACAACACCCACGCCACGAGAAGGCAGTGAGTGGGACTTTCCTGACAGTGGCTGTGTACGTGTGGCCATGTCAGAACATTTTGATAGGGAGAACCAACTCCCTAACCCTCAGCCGTACCAGGCCATGTTTTAATGAACTATTGTATTTAAATTGTAATAAGCTATGTCATCTACATATTCGAATAGTTAATTAGTTGAATTAATTTTCGTAACTAGTATTAATAAACATAAAATCCATGCGATGGTTTATAATTCATGATTTATTGTAGTTAACGAGAACACAGAAGTGGAGACAACCGAATGTATTTGAATACAAAATTACAAAATGTCTTAGTCAAATCTGAGAACCATACAGTAAATACTTCATCTTCAAAATGTCAATCAGTTGTCTCAGATTTGATTATTCCTTCGTCTCCATACTAATCACTCTTTTTTCTCGTTCTATTCTCTCCGATTTTCTTAAGCTCCTATTGTTGATACATACTACTTATATCTGTCGATATCAGTAGCACTCACTATAGTATCATATAATTCATACTAATTAATAAACGATATTAACAAATTGTAATAAAACAAATTTGTCTCTTTTCTTTTTTAAAGAAAGAACAACGCTATTCAATAATCCCATATGTACTAGTTAATTACCTTGAAATAATTAACTCATAACTGTTTTCTTTATTATTGCTCAGTGTTATGAAATATTATTGTGGATTTTTTTCCCTCAGTCTTTCATATAAGCCTTATTTAATTGTAAAAATAAAAAACTGTAATCATAATCATAATCATAATAAAGATAGTAATTATTTTTGTCACTAAAGTGATTAATTGTCTGTTTATTAAAGTTATTATATACAAGAAAGAAATTAATATATCAATGATGAATAAAAAAATTTCATCATAAATAACAGAACATTTAGGACATAGTTTCTCATAGTAACTAGATGAATATTTTTTATTGGAGATTAAACGTATTGGAATATTGTATAACCCTAATTATTATGTTGATATTATTTGTTTAAATTTTTATTATTAATATGTATTAAAGTCACAATATAAACTTATTCACAAATAGCTCATAGTGTTCGATTCTATTTTAGGAACAATAAACATTATACGGTTTATCATAAATCTCCTTTTTAAATGTCTTATGTATGATGTTGTTGTTTTATGAGTTTAATTTGAAAAACAAACAAATGCAAATTCAGAAAATATATAGTTCATATGATAGAATAATTAGTTACATAATCAAAAGAACTGTATACATAATAAATAACGAAATATATTATTTATAGTAATCATGGTTTTACATGATATGTGAATTTGAAAAGTATATGAAACTGTTCATTATTATTCATTTAATAGAAGATTTAATAAGACTGTAAAATAATAAAGTTGATTTGAAAATATCATTCAATCCATTTGATTATGTAATAAGATTTTAAAAGGAATGAAGAATATTATTTAAGATTATTAGATGAACAAATGGTTGAAATTCCAAGCAATTAGTCCCTTTGATAAATTTCGATCATGTAATAAGAAGATGTAGATTATTAGAACTAAGTAATATCTAAGTGTAATATATTTCGAACAATCTTATTACACATAATTTACTTGTTAAGAATATTTATGTATAAAAATTAAAGGTCAACTAGAAAGGTTAAAGGTAAGCTATAACAAAGAAAAAATAATAATGATAAAGTACACAAAGACAATGTGATTACCACTCCGGATAATAAATGAGTATTACTAGGGTAGGTTAAGTGTAACGATGAATTGTTTTTGAACGCATAAAGGTGGTTTCAATTACCGTATAGCCAAGGCTTCAATAAACTTTTGTATACGTCTTCGAAGGCTTTTGTATAACAATACAAATACTGACTTGATGTCAACCTTATGACTAGTCTCAATCAAATGTTTCGCAATGCGTTCAAAAACAGTTCATCCATACACTTAACCTACCCTAGTAATACTCATTTATTATCCGGAGTGGTAATCACATTGTCTTTGTGTACTTTATCATTATTATTATTATTATTTTGTTATGACTTACCTTTAACCTTTCTAGTTGACCTTTAATTTTTATATATACATGTTCTTAACAAGTAAATTATGTGTAATAAGATTGTTCGAAATGTATTACGCTTACATTGCATATAGTTTTTCATCTTCTTATTACATGATCGAATAATAAATTCGTTGAAAAGAGATTCCTTCGCTAAAATTCGTGTTTTAATTTTAATGTTTAAATGGGAATTATCTGTCAAATGATCGAAATTGTTGAAAATGATTTATTATTATGGATTTAAGTGAATTAAAATTAATTTTTACAATGTTGACATCCAATTGTCTTTATTAAAAACAAACAAACAAATTATACATTAATGATAAAAATGAGTACATATATAAAAGAATTATAGTACACAATAATGAAATGGATTCATTTCCTGTCATAATGTTTACTTATAAAGTTGTCATTTAAAAAAAAGCACCATAAAACCAAATGTTTTAAAAAGAAGTAAAATACTATGGGGGGGAGTAGGTTTACATTGTATTATATTTCCAGTTCATTATATTGAACAATATAATGAACTTTAGAAGACATATGTATAGACTACTGATTTCTTTTCATCAGTAATACTTTAAATGAACTCACTAATTTTTTTGGTCAAATTTAACAATCCTGTCATCATAAGGAAATAAAAATTAGATAAAATTTATAGTATAAATGTATATGCAAATGCGTATGGATTACAATATTTATGTATTTGAAGATAGTTCTGTTTTACTTTAAGATTGTTTGAAAAGATTAAATTATCAAAATTCACTTTAATTTGTTTTCTATTTACAATTAGAAAGTTTGTCAATATCTTCTTTTGGATGAGTTATGAACGATTCGTTTCTATGATTTGACATAGAGATATACCTAAACATGTTTCAGGTAATGTACCTTGTGCAAATATACTTATCCAGTAAATAGTACTCATTATACAAAAGCATACAGTTATTAAAGTTTTCAATCCTGTTAAACAATAAGATGAAGGATAATTATTTACATTAAAGTTATGTACATTTATGCATGGTGTTACAGATGAACTGCACAAATGCTGGTGTCGACAAAATACGTTGAAAGCAGCAGCTGTAGGAGATGATGATAAATTAGCATGATTATCATTATTATTATCAGTGAGAAAATGTGACTGGCATACATGACAATCAGGTTGATTTAAATCCCCACCCAATAAGTTGACATTATTAACTCTTCGGGAATTTCTCCATCTTAATCCACGAAATGTACCATTATTAACTCCATTACCGGATTCTGAACTACCTGAGCATAAATAATTGTCACCATAGTTCTCCTGTGAAATTATAATTATAATAGAAGTAGAGTATTATGTAGAATTAGAGAAATTTACGTTTTATCAATGGTCATCTAAATTCATTACTTAATTACAACAGATATTATTATCTTTAATAACAAACAGATAAATGCAAGAACTTGCTAATATATATACTGTTGGTGTATTGTTTTGTACAGACAGAATATTCTGCTACATGACTGACTATGTCAGAATGAGTTTTCTGGAGATTTTAGGAAATTTCACAGGTTGAAATCATGAGTCAATTGAAGCTAGACCACCATGGAAAACCTGGAAGCGTTGGACGGCCTTTTCGTCCTAGTATGGGACTCCTCAGCAGTGAGCATCCACGAACCCGCCCCCCCGCGGGATTCGAACCCAGGTCTGTTGTGGGATATCAGCTTACTGAAGACAATGGTGTTCGGTGGCGCGACTTCATGGATTGGTTGAAGTTAGACATTAACACGGTTGGATGCTAGCTCAGTGGTTTAGTGGTTAAGTGTTCGCGTGCGAAGCCAGTAGGTCCTGGGTTCGAATCCCGCGGGGGCGGGTTCGTGGATGCTCACTGCTGAGGAGTCCCATACTAGGACGAAACGGCCGTCCAGCGCTTCCAGGTTTTCCATGGTGGTCTAGCTTCAATTGACTCATGATTTCAACCTGTGATATTAATTAATGTATTAATCATGTAGTATAGGCAGGATAAAACCTATTTACTCATCTTTGTATAGACTAACCTATAGTAGTCCATTTGTATGATAGACTTATAAGTGGTATTCAAGACAGTACATGGTGAAATATAATTAATAATGACCATGTAAAGGATATGATATCACAGAATTGTTAGGGATGCAGAGGAATATACCAATCATTATCATGTTAAGTCTAATGATGTCCTTGGACTTTAAATGGACATTCCCTATTGACCATTATTTATTTCACTCGTTAAATATTGTACAGATGTTTTCTATTTTTATGGTACAATGTGGTCTGTTTGGTTGGTATATAAACAGAGTATGTTTGAAATATAACGATTCATATCTCAGAGGCTGTGACTTGTGTTCTGGACTCAACTGGCTGGGCTAGACAGGGAAGCGGGACCAATCAGGACTCTAGGTCGTCCTTACGTGTCATTGGATCGATCGATAAATACGCTGCGCATCTAACCTGCAATCCACCCGTTACAACAGAATAGTTCACAAATAATTATAAATTAAGATATCTGTTGATAAGCTAGGTACAGTCTAAATACAGTGAACATTGATAAATATGATACTATTTATCTATAGATTGTAGAATATAAAGCACATTAGAAACGATATTTTATTACTACTTAGAATACTAACATTCATCATGAAATATTGTTTCGACTAAAAAATGCATTAATCAATTAGAAAATTAGGTCGTATCCTTCATGTTTAGTAAACCTTTGCACTTAAGACGTGATAGCAATTTTATATTGTAAGTTGTTGATTGAGATCATGAACCAGTTGATGTTAGACCACTATTGGAAACCTGGAGGCACTGGACGGATGTTTCATACTATTGTAGGACTCCTCAGCAGTGCGCATCCACGGTCCCAATCGCAGGATTCGAACCCGGGGCCTTTGGTCTCGCGTGCGAACGCTTAACCTACTGGACCACTGAGCCGGCATCTAATGGTGTTAGTGACTAACATCAAACAATCCACGAAATTGAGCGACCATCTTCCATTGTACTTAAGTAGATGCCTGTTTCTACCCGACACGGTTTAGCTCCAACGGTGGTCTAACATCAATCAGTTTATGATCTCAATCAAAAGCTTAATAATATCCACAACCCCTATACTGATTGTTGTAAGTTGTGTTAATTTTTCAAAAATTTTTTAAATGTCAACATTGTTTATTTTCTTGATTTTGTTAGCTTATATGGTGAATTGACTTCCCTATCGATTACACGTTTTTTTAAGAATTTTAATATAACCTTTCATTTAGTGAAATAATAATTAAGTTAGTATGTTTATGAAGTTATTTCATTCCGAAGACAGTTTAAAATACAGACTGACTGCAATCAGAGCACAATTTAGCACCATTAAGCAGTAGTTAGATATTTCTGCAATACTCTGCATGGGCGAACATACCAATGATTAAACCCAGGAATTTCGTCTTCTTGATGATGGTGTTACTTTTAGACCACTGCATTGATATTTATTCGTCAACATCTCTAAATTCAGTCGATTTGTGATAGTGGACGGTCGGATAAACGCACGTACTTTTTATTAAGAAGATTCTATGTAGAAGTTTCCATGAAGTCTAAACATTTTGATATTTTTCATGTTATTACAACAGAACTTTAGTTTCTAATATTTTGAATTGTCCCGTTCAAACTCCAAAGTGTTATTTAATTAGCTATTGAGTTCAGATACCCAGTTACTTGTACAAAGGGATAAAACGATCGTACTAGATCCCACTTCTGGCCACATTCCATCTATTCTATATAAATGTTATAACAATGGTTACAGTTTGAAAATACCAGTCACTGACTCAGTTGATATTGTTAAATCTGTTTTTATGAAAAAGAATATGAAAAGATTCTTGTTTATTCATAACTTTAATCACTAGAATAGCTAGGTGAACTTACTCTCTTGTTGGTTGATTGGCCCATTGCTTGTGTAAATCCTAGAGGTCCAGGACTATTATTTGCAGATGGATTTGTCTGCAATATTGGTATGGCTTGGCATGCATGACCACTTCCACCAGATAGACCACAACTACTGTTACTATAACAAACGGCTGTACCATTTGATGAAATAAATCCTGTACTGGTTCTTCCTGCTACACAACTAGTACATGAATCAGGGCATCCACCACAATTTCCACAGCACCCATAAGTTTGTATTAATCCTGGTCCATTCATTCGTTCATTAACTGGACCCTCTGCATTAAAACCTGTTGTGGTTGTTTTATTCTGATTCAAGCCAAATGACGACAAACGATTCAAATGTTGATATTTTCGTTGAAGAAATCGACAAACAAACCGATGATGAATTAAAACAAATAAATAGATTAAACAAATTGAACTTGAACACATTAAACACCATACATTAAGAAATCCAGATAATTTAGAATTATTTAAGTTTTGTTCATTCATCCACAGCCAAAATGAAATTGAAAATAAAAATAGAATTAATTGTGTACAACTAAGATTATGTGTACCCAGTTGATTTGTCCATAGTAGTATAATAGAAATTAATACAAGTAGCATTGGAGGTAAACTACCTTGTAATATTCTGCCACTTTGTGAAAAACAAATATTAATTCCAAGACTTTGATCTGGACCTATAAATTCATTAGAAACATATGATAACGATTTCAATCAAATAAATTTTGATTAAACTAATTCTGCATAAATTAAAATATAAAATTTAAAGCAATTAGTCCCTTTCATAAATTTGGATAGTGCAATAAGAAGACGAAGATTATCAGAATTATGTGATTTATTAGCGTAATACATTTCGAACAATCTGATCACACATATACTTGTTAAGAACATTTATATATAAAAATAAAGGTCAACTAGACTGGAAATGGGGTGAGAGGAGATAAGGATAATATTAATAAGAGTAATAATAATGTAAACACAATGCGAAACCTAGTCACTCTGGCTAATAAGTCAATATCACCGGGCTAGGTTTAAAGTAAGAACAAACTGTTTTTGAACACACAAAGGGGGTTTGAATTTTCGCATGGTTAAGGCTTAGTATACGCGCTTTTACACTTTTACACAACACCACAAACGCCGAGTTAGCATGAAACTTTAATTCACTTTTGAATTGGTTGGGGGGGCGCAAATTATGGTACTTATTTTGAAATCGAGTCGTTTGAAAGTAGACGATTAGTGTTATCTTGGATATTATGAGAAGATGGAGTTGATTTACGTGTGACATAGCAGAGATTATATAAAATCGTTTGGATTGTTGACATTTAAATATTTTTTATCGAAAATAGTCGACTGAAAAAGTAATTTTTTGGCTAAAAAGATAACACAATCCTAATTGAGATCATTATATAATACCGTATTACATAATACAGTGTTATTTATTACATTTTTTGATCCAGTGGATTGACATGTCCTTTTTGAGTTATTCTTTTCAAGAGAGTTAATTTCAATTGTCAATTCCGATTAAAATGTCACATGATAAGGCTTGTATGTAAAACAAGGAGTTAATATACATAAATCTTTATAGATAATTGCTTGAATGATGGAACGCTCACTTGTAAAATCGTCAATTTAATTTGAAATGGTTTAATAAAAAGTTTTAGAAGATTATAAACTTGCTTCAAATATCATAGTCTGCTGAAGACCTTAGAGGAGAACTTGAGATCGAAATTGAAATTGCTAGCTTTTAAATGCAAGTGGTTACTTCGCAAATTGTGCGTACTGATTTCTAGCGTAACGGCTAATATAGTAATTGAAGGTTATGCCCACCTGATGTTTCTTAGCAAGTTATGATAGTCTCAGTGGGTTGGTGAGTGAATGTACATCTTCCTGAATGGTACATATTTACCAAGTTTTGGTCAATGAACATTTCCAGCTTAGCAAAAATGTATCTAACAAAAACAAAATGAACATTTCACTGTATGATGACAATATATCCATTTAGAACAAGTCAGGTTTTGACAATTGAAGCTAATAAATAATTAGTTAATGTAATCAAAGGATCATATATGGTGAGTTTTATAATACAAAATCAAGGTTCGTGCCAAATGGGAAAATTCTATTCCTCTTCTTAAGAAATTACTGTAAGAAACTCATCTTTAGGAGTTTATAGTTTGCTAAGTTGTTGACAAGCTTCGGGTACAAGTAATTTACCCACCAATAATTTTGAAAACAAAGCTTATGTCACCTACCAGATTTATCGATATGTTCATCATAGCGTTTTGTTACACTTAGATAAGATGATTTTCTTTGTACATCATTTGAGAGCAAACAACATTTACGTTCGGTCCACTTGATGATCGGTTGTGTTTTCATGAAGCCTTCTGAAAAATTAATGAAACAGTACACTAAATTAAAGAGTAATCAGTGATTAGGTAGCTTTTCATCACATCTAATGAAATGCTAAATATATACAGCAACAACTAAAAAACAATTACCGAATAACAAATTAACAAATCTTTTACAATAAAATCAGCTTCATCATTCTGTCTATAAGTTTCAGCTGTAAAATACGCATTATAAAATGCATATAACTTGTAGTAGGTGACGGTCATTCTGATGTATGAAGTAACTGTATTGTAATATTAGATATTAGTTGGTTTTAAAATAATGACCGAATTTACTGTGTATTATGCGCGGTTCCATAATCAATAAAGGTGCATGATTGAGGATTGATAAATCTAGGTTGTAATGGTTACCCTAACGGTAATAGTTGACAATTAAAGAAATAAGCCGGATTATTGACAGTTCTTTAGTACTTAAAAACCTAAATCATGTTCATATGAATGCTCTAATATACTATTTCTCTTAATAGACAGTTGATTTCATTGTGTTCATCAAATGTGAAATTTATCAATTTACTAAAAATCCTAACTAGTACAAAAAATACATGTTAAAATATCCCGCTGTGAAATAAACTTTCTAAAGGATACGCGATTTTTAATGATGCCCTACTATTTAAATATAATTTAATAGTTCAATAAGGCTAATTAAGACCATTATTAAGATGTCATTTAACTGTGAATACGTTTTGATTACTAAGTAGGCGTCATAAATGTTTATAACCGATGTATAACATTTATTGAATAGCCAAAGTATTCCCATTTTTTTGGAATACATAATAAATAAACTGTTTTTAATTTTAATCTTTGTAAAATCATACTAAAAGTAGGATTGTCATTTTAGAATAGAACTTTGAGTGTTTCAACAGGAGATCTTTATTCTTCTTATTCTTTTTTTTTTAACAAAAACAAATATGTTGCCATGTAAACATAAACATTTAGGCGGTTATAAACAGAAATGATTACCATTTAACTAGTTATTTTTAAGGTTTGAAATTTTACCCAGAATAATCCAAGTAAAGTATTTTGTAGTAAAGAAAGTTATTTTTTTTCTAAAAAAAACCCATTCAATTCCGATGGGTTTACCGTCATTTTTATATAATCAAGTAGTATAGTGAATGGCGTCTACAGGGTGGTAGTAAAAGTAGAAAGACGAACTCACCTCTTTATTTTGCTACTCACCAAAAACGTTTATACTCAAAATTGGAGTTATTGAAATGTTATGATTTACTTCTAAGATAATTTCTTTTATTTAGAAAAAAAGAACGGTAAACTTCCGTCTATTATTCATCTATGAATTTATTTTATTGTTAATTGTTTAAGATTTTTCATGGATAGCAATGAATCACAAAAGGTTATAGTCGGCTTGCTTTTAATTTGTCACAATAAACAGGTGACGGGAATTTTATTTATCGGTGAAACAATTGTCGTCAGACATAGGTGTTATCATTTATATTCATCAGAATTGATATTTGATGTGAAGACTTTTGTAAAAATCTATCTCATCTTACTGTATAAGTATTTGACAAAAATAAGTACAAACAACTATCCATTATCAATTATTTTTTAATTTTTTCGTAATGTCGCCTATCTAGTTTGAATAAATGTATAAACCATGTTATAACCATGTTATTTAAATGATTTAAGGAGAATGATTTTGCGATTTTCTAAAATACAAACTAATATTAAATAGAGAAATGTTAAAAATCGGAACGTTTTGATCAGTCGTTTAACGCTACCCTTGGAACTTCACTGATGTCGACAGATATAAGTAGTATGTATCATCAGTAGAAAGTGAAATGTCTGACTGCAGAAAGTTAAGAAGATCGAAGAAAAGAGAACGGGAACAGACAATGATTGGTATGGAAGCGAAAGAACAATGAAGTCTGAGACAATTGATTGTCATTTTGCAAATGAAGTATTTACTGTACGGTTCTCAGATTTAACTAAGATATTCTGTAATTTTGTGTTCAAATATATTTGCTTGTTCCTGCCTACGTTCTCGTTTACTACAAGACTTTTTAAACTAAAATGAAATAGCTGTTCACAAACTTCTTATAACTTAAAATTCCTTAAGACGATACAAGCCCAACCTCATGAATTCATGCCATAAAAATGTATTTTCATTGTACATTTAACGTTAAACTTATATGGAATGATCCATCCATGCTTTTGATACATGTATGAATTCATTAGACGATGACTATTCTGTTTAAATTTTAAAATGGCTGGATCGTTCCTCTGAAAACTAATATGATTTTATTCTCTTAAAGTCGATATTTTAAACGAGAATAAAAAAAAACTTGTTCATTTCTGAAATTTTAGCAGCTCATCAATTCAAACTTATTATTCTGTTCATTTCCTTATTCTATCATGATATTAGTACCTCTTTTAAACTTACATACTCATATATTGAAAACACTTAAAGAGAAATGACTTTTCAAAATATCACCGAATATGATTAATCAATATTCTTTACTATCTCTTCATAATTGTTATCTTAGTTTAGCTCTTTTTATTTTCTTAATATGATAATAGACAGAAAATCTCTAATGAACAAAAGATATCAACTATCTTTCTCTGAACTTCATAATAAAATAAATGATTAGAATGATTTCATTATTGTTCTTGCATAACAATGTTACTTAAATGTTATGTAAATATAATCAGAATAAAAACATCAGTTTCTGAATAAGTGGATACACCCATTTTGTTTGGTCATCACCTATGTAATACGTTACTTCGACTTTAGAGCTGATAAATTTATTACTGATTTATTAATTTATTGATGAACAAGTCTTATTTTAAAAGTGAAATCAAAAGAAAAGTTAACTTGATTAAGAACATAGTTATATTAACCTCGATTTTATGTGGACATATATGGTTGGCGAATTTGTAGATGAAATTCTTTTGTAATTTTTATGATCTAAAACTATTCGCTATTTAGCATATAACAACTGTTCAACATATTCTATAATCAGAACTTCGTATGTTTATGAGTAGTGATAGTGATAAATTAAAATACTTAGATGGTAGGTTGTTATAACTGAATTATAAAGGTGTCAAAAGGTTTCAAAATAATTCTGGAACAGAAGCTGTATATCATTTCGTTTTGTTTTTTTTTGTTGTTGTTGAGGTGAATGAGTTATAGAATACTGTTCTCAATCAATATTGATCTTATGTGTTTAACACCAGTTAGAACTTAGCTACTGTACTTTGTAGAGAAGACCAAATTTCATAACCTAGTTAAAAGTGAATATTTATCAGACATTCATAATATATAAAATTAAAAATAGTATTGGTTTTATCTTTACCTTGTTTTATCCATACTGGACAAACAATAGCACCAATATGATGAAATTTTTTTGGCTCTTGACATGGAACTTCCACGACGATGCTATAAATTCGAAAATATAAATGAATTCTCATATTAGTAAATGAAATGTGATTTGGTAATTTAATATCGAATTTGAATAAAGTTTTCAATTTGAAAAAGTGTCATCGAGGTAGCCGTAAAAACTTCTTTCAGATTTCCTAACAGTGGACAACTATTATTTTGTATAGCATTCAACCGAGGGTTTTCAGGTCTTAGTGATGTATGTCCGTGATAAAAACTGATTTGAATTTGAAATGTCTCTACGAATCACTTATATTATTGATAATTTTGTGTACAGTGATGGTTAACTGGGAAACAGGTTGTCGAAGTACTATTTTGAAACAAATATTGTCATTGGTGTTGCTTGGTTTTAATCAGAATAACAAAACTATGTCCCTTCTAAAAACAGCGAAACCCCTAAACTACATACACTAATGTTAAGAAAATGGTATCAGTATATGAAGACAAATTATCCCTTTGACTTGTCAGTGGTCGATGCAGATATATAAATTTACTAAAATGTAACACACATAAAAATGACCCCTTTTCATTCATTAAATTCTATTGGGTTTCATTGAAATACATGCTGACAATTTAAAGTATCAAACGAAGATTTTCTCACGTTTTCAGTCGACTGAGTTTCACAGAAGCTTTTTGTTTTTCACCACAAAAGAACCTACCAAAAATAATGTAACATCTATAAACTAATTCCTCCTTGACAGAGTTTTTCTATTTAGGTTGTCTTTATTGATTTTGTTACAAATTATTGTCAAAAGAAAGTGTTTTATATACATTGTGAAATTGTGATCTTCATTTACAATTAAATTATTGTTTTATATTAACTTTTCTTTTTTGGTTCGAAGAGTTTTAGGTCATAGAAATTAGTTAGAATATTAGTGAATTACATAAATATATTATCAAAATACTTTATATTCATTGTATATAAACATTATCTATTTAGTACAGTTGAGGTCAATATAAGGACAAAAATGAGTAATTATTTATTAATATTAATTTTATAATTTACAATCAATCACTTTGAATATTTATCTAGTCTATTAAAGATATAGTGCAATTTTAATAATTGAAATCATGAGTCAATTAAAGCCAGACCACCATCGAAAACCTGGAAACACTGGACGGCCGTTTCTTCCTATTGCAGAACTCCTCAGCAGTGCGCATCCACGATCCCGCCACCCCCACTCCCGAGATTCTAACACAGGACCTATCAGTCTCGCACGCGAGCGCTTAATCACTAGACCACTGAGCCGTCCGGCATCCAACGGTGTTAATGTCTAACTTCAACCAATCCACAAAATCGCGCCACCGTACACCATTGTCTTCAGTGAGCTGATATCTTACAATAGACCTGGTTGAACTTTACGGGTCACTGCTTCTCACTAGAACTCCGGGAAATGCCTCTTGAAGTCAGTCATTAGTGAGCAGATGTTTATTATCAGAAGGGATTTTGTGGGGACTTTTAGAAATTTCAATAGTTGACGGGGCAGGATCGTGGATGCGCATCGCTGAGGAGTTCCATACTAGGACGAAACGGCCGCCCGGCACTCACAGGTTTTCCATGGTGGTCTAGCTTCAACTGACTCATGATTTCAATTATTGAATTTTCTAAAAATCTCCACAAAACTCTTTCTAATATGTTGCAATTGTATTTTTAAATATTTTTTGAAGACTCTTTGTATTAACGCTTTTTAAGTATTTTGAGTGTTAACATGTACTACATGTTATAAAGTGTTTGCATGATACGAATATACTTTATAAGAGTAATTGAAAATGCGAAACTTTAATATTTGGAACAGTTTCAACATTCTTAGAATAGTTCTAGTCATAAATGAAACAAGAAGCTTGTTTCAAATATCCATTGATTATGAAGAGTTTATTTGTAGTGTTAACGACAGATTATAATGCTTGAATAGAGTTTCCTCTACCATTCAGCTTCACAGTTAGAGACCACTGGGCTATCCGGGCTCCGACCGACCTCCTGTAGGACTGAGATGTATTCACAATTGATTGATCACTGGGTCATGATCAGTACCATGTGTGTCAAGTGAATCTGGGTGACACGGGATCGAATCCATCAGGGAGCACCAGTCCTCTCAAAATTACAGATACACCTTGCTGACGACTGTCAAATAGCACGAAACCTGTGTCCAGGGTTTCTTGTTGACTAATTCCAACCACCATCTTATCTCACAATAGTGCACGTAATGTCGAGTCACCTAAACTAGTGGTCACATTGCAATTTGTTTGATAGGATTCGACCTGCACTAAGAAGTACTTGACACACATGACATTGATCAACACCCAATGATCAATCAGTTGTGAAAAGGAAATAAGTATTAAGTTTTACTGACGGAATCTTATTTGATTGATATTCATAATGACAAATAATTACCAAATCTAATCAGACTAAAGTTTGTATAAACATGATTTATAATTAAAATATAATTTGCTGTTAAAGTCGTTAATTACTAGAAGTAAGTCACCTAAGAAATACTATCATAATTAGGTAACGTGTATTAAAGATTGTAATTAACTCTAGAGTATGCAAAAACTCAAACCTTAGGTGAAATTCAAGCATAAATCATCATTACTCAATCAAGTGAACCAAATATACTTATGGTAATTTTTCCGTGTTTGTTTAGTAGTTGATGTTTAACCATTTAAAATCAGTTGGTATAGTTTTTTTTACCAGAGAATTAATGTGGAGTTTTTTATCAGGTTACTTGTCATTTCATCATCGTTGTATCGAAAAGTAATCTCTTTAATATAAGTTTCAAGGACTTTCTACATCATACCTTTAGTTGTTCGTAAGTAGTTGACGATCTTTATGTTAAGAGTTAAAATGACCATGTAATGTGCCATTACAAGAAAACTGACTAGACTAAACCAAAACCTTAGAAATGTTTTCTTGAAAACTACATATAGTCAAATAAAATAATGGATTTTATATTGTGCTATAGTACTAAGTATTTTTTCGTCTATTCACTGCTACTTAAATCGGATTTCAGATAAGTGAAGATCTTCTGTAAAACATTTATCCAACTGTACGCTTTCAACATGATAGGTACTTTGTATCAGGTTTTATTTTTGCTATTAACTCTTGATAAACTTTAAGAAAAATATGAGATGATAGTGTTGAAAACTGATTGGATGGTCAAAAAATAAACTATAAAATGTCTCATAATTAGTTTTGTTTGGAAGGCTTGTTAGTTTTTTAATTAAGTAAAATCTGGCCATTAAATTCATATATTGGACTCATAATTAATTTACGTAACTATGGTCAAGTTACGACAAAAAAATTACAGGGAATACTATTGAGTATAGTTCTAGTAGGTCACTTCTATTAAACAGTTTGTACACGTTTTTCAGTAGCATCATAACTTCATAAGTGATAATTTAGCTTCAGAGCTCATAAACATCTTAAGTTTAACGTGCTACTGATCATATACTCATAATTTGAAATAACAATATTTTTAATAAATGTGACTTGGAACAGTCTAGTGCCTTTTGACATTCAATGTATAGCGTCAAGAAATACAAACCTTTCCATGAATGAATAATTTGGCCCATCTCCATCTGGAACTACCTTCAACGTTTTAGCACGATTATGAGAACGGATTGATTGGATTGACGATTCGTTAGGTAATCCTCGTGCAGCTAGCCCTGCTTGCGCTCTATTCAAGGAATTTGTGGGATTTGTTGATTTAGAGAATGAATTACTTCCAGCATATAGATTACGCAACTCTAAACGTTGGTGAAAACGATCATGTCTGAATGCACCTTTAATAACTAATTGAGGATGCCATACTTTGTCCACATCAAGTCGAACACCACCTCCGGCCATATCGACCAAAGTACTTTCAGTGACTCTTGAATCAGTTACTGGCCACTCAGCAAATAATGTTAGACTTGCACGGCAAACCTGAATAAAAATATTTTAACAAAATAAATCCATTTTATATGATGATTGCATTAATCAAAGATCATTTGGATTATAAATGAGTTACATTTTTTGTTCAAATTTCCCTCAAAATTATGAGGGGTTAGTAGGGACTGTTAGGTTTCGAATTTTACATTTATACAACCTATGAAAAAACAGTGAGCATCGAAGAGCTGTTCTGTCTTAATAATGAACTACTTGGCTGGTGAGTTACAGATTTTATATTTTCTTATAAACCTTAGTTAAAAACTTTATTTTGGTGGAATACAACTATATACAAGCAGCATGAGAAAGTTTGTTATATTGTCAACATTCATAGATAAGCAATCTATCTGTCTGCCGAGATATCTCTTTGCTGAAAACAAATTAAGAACGTTAGTTTAAATATTGTTTTATAGATCATACAGAAGTAAAAAATGAATGTGCTTGAGCTATTGAAGTATACTGTTGTGATAAAATAGAATAAATATGTATTATTGGATAAATCTTCACACATAAACGCTTTGTTGTTTATGGATCATTCTGGACTATTACAATCATATAGAACGTTTGGAATTTTGATAGTTTTCTGATGTGTATGTGACACTTAGGATGAATGTCTTGCAAAAGCTTTAGTCTTATAGGTAGTATGATAAAATAAACCTGAAGTTTACTAGTCTTATAATTTTAATAGTTGAATTTATGAGTTGATCTAAGCTAGACCACCATTGAAAATTTCATACACATAGTTCCCTTTATTATCTTAAAGAGAGCAAGAACAAAGATTGGTGCAGAATAATATGAATTCATTTTGTTTCGTTAGGTTCTCATCAACTGCTTACAACCTTAAATATTTGGAAATCAACGTTATTACAGATATTGACATACTTATACATAAGAGGGTGATTAAAGATAAATAAATGTATCATGGTGTAGCGAAGATTCCGATAGAGTTAATGAGGTCATAAAATTTTGTCTCGAATAAATAGAGTTTGAGAGGGAAAGTTCCAGAACATTGAAATAGTGATTAGAACGTAAGAGGTAGGCTCTCCTACGTCCGATTCAAAGAACATATTCCGAAAAGTTTAAGGTTAAATGGATTAAAAGCATCCAACAGTGCCATCGCAAGACATCTCCCTGACACAGGACATGAAGTTGATGTACTGAAGTCCTTCAATGTGATTAACAAACAATCAAACTCCAACCTTTTTAAATATACCAAAGCAATAGCAATCAAACGTTTAAAACCAGATCTATGTATACAAAAAGAGACAGTAATAAATCTTTCTTTACCCTGGTATCAATAACACTTTATTCATTTATTTCTATTTATTTACTTATTGCGTCATTGTTCCAACTCTTTCTGAAGTTTAAATTACACCATATATATCTGACCCCAAACGAAGCTGCTACCTTGACGCGGTGGTCGGGCTTGCCTATCGTGATGACCCAAGAGAGCTATATTGGCTGGAACATATGTTCCTGTAGGTTCTACCATGCCAGGTAGGTCGATTGGTGAACGGTAAGACTAAAAGCAGCAACTCACGGTCTGAGGGCGAAGTCGTACTGCTGACTGTAGAGAGGTGTGACAGCAGTAAGGTGTTTCCCTCGGACAACCAGCATGACAGCGATGCTGCCTTCCCACAAGGAGGGGTGGGGTTAGAAAAGGTCGACCCTAAAAATGTCACACCTCACCTTACCTCACGGATCTCCATCTCCGGCGGTAAGGCCCTTTGAAGAACGGAGCTAACACGTCAAAAAACCCCACGAAAAGGCCGTGCGCGACCGGCCTCAAGCAGTTGTCCCTTGGGCTCTGCGGTCACGCTCCCAGGTCGTTAAGACCAACACTAATCCAATTTCCTTTTCAGGTTCCTTAAGAAATACCCTTCCACGGTGTGGGCAGCCGGGAAGTGATATCAGCCCTCATACCCGTAACAGCACACGAGACCAAGTTGGTCACATTCAAATCCTTCCTACACCTCCTAATACCTCTCTTATCTCCATGACTAACCCTTCTCACGTCTCTTTATCACCTCGCACCGCTAGGACAAACGATTCGAGTACGTGGAACGCTATTCCTGGTCTCCTGAAACCACGCTCTAAACTACACGTAGGAGCTTTTAACGTACGAACACTTTGCCAAATAGGACAGCAGGCTTCCTTAGCTAGGACTTTAGAATCCCTCTCCATCGATGTGTGCTGCGTCTCCGAAACGCGCATACAGGATCCAAGTAGCGTCATTCATTTGACCTCACCATGCCAAAATAAAGAACCGACTCGATTTACGCTTCGTGTATCTGGAAGCCCTGATTCTGCTTCCCGTGGCCTCGCCGGCGTAGGTATAGCATTGAGTCCTAGGGCAGAACTAGCTCTCTTAGAGTGGATCCCAGTAGACAGTCGTTTGTGCGCTGTCCGACTGAATGGAACAATAAGGATCCGAAAAGATAGGGACACTCGTCATTGCCTCTTCGTCGTCTCTGCCTATTCTCCCACTGACTGCAGCTCAGATGATGTAAAAGATGAGTTTTACAGAAAGCTTTCGGACCTTCTCCGAAAAGCTAAGCGCTCGGATGTAGTAATAGTGGCCGGTGACTTTAATGCTCAAGTAGGTAAACTAAGCGATAGGGAAAGACACCTAGGTGGATCTTATGGTGTCGTGGCTCAAAGAACAGATAATGGCGACCGTCTGTTGCAGCTATGCTCAGATAACCGCCTGTTTCTTGCAAATACTAACTTTAAGCATAAGGAAAAACATCTTTTAACATGGCGACCGCCTAATTCGTCCCAACGTTGGACCCAAATGGATCACATCGCTATCAGCCACCGATGGAGGGGCTCGATAGAAGACTGTCGCTTATTCTGGAGCACATGCCTAGATTCAGATCATGCTCTAGTTCGAGCGCGTATTTGCTTGCGTCTTACTGGACGTCGGAAAGACGCTGCAAGAAAACCTCTTAGGGACCTACTTAATGATAGTCAAGCTAAGAGTATATTTCAGGAACAACTAGGAAAACAGTTAGACAGCCATGTATGTGATGCCCACCCTGAGACAGCATGGAACGATATCCGAAAAGCTGTGGAAACAGCAGTGATATCTGCTAGTAAGGTAAACCACAAGGTTACGGAGCAACAGTGGATCTCAGCAGCATCTATCGCACTGATAGATGCTCGGAAACTCATTCCACCTGGCTCTGAACATAATGAAGATCGGAGTCAGCTTAAGCGCAAGCTGACAAAAAGTCTACGCAATGATCGCGAACAGTAGTGGGTAGCGAAAGCAAGAGAGATGGAAAAGGCAGCGGCAATAGGTAATAGCAGACAATTGTTCAGACTCGTTAAGGAAACCGGAATTAGGAACCCGACCGTTAGCGAAACAATCTCAGAGAAAGAAGGACATATTATTCATTCTCAATCCAGGAGATTGGATCGATGGGCAGAACACTTTAGGGGTCAGTTCAACTGGCCTTCAGCCACACTTCGGTTTTCCACGATCTCTAGTCAACCTGAATGGCAAGTTAATGTAGGTCCTCCGTCCCTTTACAAAGTTGAAAAAGCCATAAGAAATCTGAAGCGAGGGAGAGCAGCAGACTCCGACAAGTTTACTCCTGAGATTTTTAAGGATGGTGGTCCAGTATTAGCAATGAGATTAACCGAGGTCTTAGGTAGAATTTGGGAACTGGACGTAATCCCATCTGACTGGTCTCAATCACTGATTGTGCCAGTCCATAAGAAAGGACAAAAGTCCTCTTGTGAAAATCACAGAGGAATCAGTTTGACAAATATAGTGTCTAAAATATTAGCTTCAATAATACTTCGACGCCTAACTAAAGCTCATGAAGAGCAGACTAGAGAAAATCAGGCTGGTTTTCGACCTGGACGTGGTTGTATAGACCACATATTCACACTACGTCAGGTTCTAGAACACAGACACACATTCAGACGCCCCACAATGGTAGTATTTCTCGACCTTAAGGCAGCATTCGACTCTGTTGATCGTGAGGTTCGATGGCAGTGTTTGTCACTGGAAGGAGTACCAAAGAAGCACATTAACCTTATAAAGGCTCTCTACTCGAACACAACTGGTAGAGTGAGAGCTTATGGCGAACTGTCATCAGAATTGATTACCTCAAGTGGTGTTCGTCAGGGCTGTCCACTCTCTCCATTCTTGTTTAACTCTGTTGTTTACGTACTTTTAGAGATAACACTCTTCTCATCTAAATTTCCAGGGGTTGAACTTCTACCGGGAGATTCACTTGTTGACTTAGAATATGCAGATGACATAGTTTTATTTGGTGAAGACGCTGACAAAATACAGTCTTCTGACCACTCTAAGCAACAATGCAAGCATGTTCGGGATGAGATTCTCCCCACCGAAATGCAAAATGTTGCTTCAGGATTGGGTTGCATCGACACTGGAACTAATTATAGGGAGTGAAGTAGTTGAGTGTGTCGACCGCTTTACTTATCTTGGAAGTCTCATCAGCCCTTGTGGTCTGGTGTGTGACGAAATCTCAGCACGGATACAGAATGCTCGACTAGCTTTTGCCAACTTGCGTCATTTATGGCGTAGGCAAGATATCCGTCTATCAATCAAAGGACGTATTCACTGCGCAGCAGTTCGTTCCGTCCTACTTTATGGCAGTGAAATATGGCCGGTAAGAGTAGAGGATATCCGTAGGTTACTAGTATTTGATCATAGGTGTCTTCGAAATATTGCTCGTATATCCTGGGACCACAGAGTAAGTAACGCAGTTGTTAGGAAACGGGTACTAGGTAAGGATGGCAAATCAATTGATGAGGTAGCGAAACTTCATCAGTTGAGATGGCTGGGACACGTGTTACGTATGCCCAACCACCGACTACCTCGACGTGAGATGTTCAGTGGTATAGGAATAGGTTGGAAGAAAGCTAGGGGCGGCCAGACCAAAACATGGCACAAGTCCATGAAGTCACTGACAAGTGGACTGAGTCATGTTCGTAGGTGCAGACTACCTGGTTGGGGA